GATCAAAAATTGAAAAACCTTATACAAAGTATTTTGCACCACTATTTTTTAAATAATTTTTTCACTTTTTATGTTTATAAAATATTATGTAACTTGCCCCTGTTTGAAAGTATGGTTGACCATACACAACATTATCAGAAAATAAGAGCAATGACTATAGTAAATTTAAAACCAACATTCCTAAAATTAGATTATGGAGAATATTTTCCAACATTAAACATTCTCTTAAAAATTATATAAAAAAGAAGTTCACCCTTCATTTTATTAAATTATGTTTTAATAGATAAATTCTCTGTAGAATTGTCAACATCTTATCAGTGCTTGTTAAGTGACTGACAAGTGATGAAAAGCACATAAATCATCACTACTGTTTGTTTTAAAAATCCATTTCTCTGTTATTTTCAAGTTAAAGTAAATAATATTTGTTTCAAATCAGATTAATTAGACTTTCAATCAGTTAATATTCCTCAAGTAAAGTTTTAGAAAAGTACATTTTATTTTTGGAAGGTTTTTAAAATGGAGAGTTAACTTTTGTTTACAAATGTGTCAAAAATGTCCGATTTTAATGATTTTACTAAAAGCAACCAAAAAGTTGAGATTCTAATCAATATAATTTCTATGTGAAATACACCAGAGCATTTTGCTTACTGGAAATAATTTAATCATTTATGTTCTTCACTAGTCGTCAGAAACAGGCTTGATCAGGGGACAGAGAGAGAAGTGGAGGCACGGGTAGAATTTCAAGGAAGGCGGAGGAATCGCCTGCACCATTTACACAGTGATGGTGAGAGGCACCCACACAAGATGGAAGGAGTTGGGTGGATCGATATTCTGTCACCACCACTTTTTGGGAGAAGGATCTCCCCAAATTTGGTCAGGCAATCAATTTCCCAAGACCAGACAATGAAAGACTCTGTATAGATGTTAGTGTTTCCTTGAAAACACCCAACCGCCTTATACCCCTGCACCAGGTTTGCGTGAAGGTTCATAAATACAGACGTGCAAAACAAAAGACAGTTCTGAGTATTAGGAGAGGAAGGAACCAGACAGTTCAGGGTGCTGGTTGTAAAAGAAGCGTGTTGCACGTTGGCTAAAGACCCACTTTGTCAAACCCCACAACTTCTGCAGAAAGAACTCCAGTCTTGTTCCAGGCTACAAATTACAACTGAATAGTCTGCCTGAAGAAATCACAGAATGAAAGAAATCAGACTCCAGCCATGTACCAGTTTACCGAGCATTGCTAAACATAGCGTCATGGGACATTAAGAAGGAAAGTGCTGAAAATCTGCATGTTTTTAATTCAATGGGTAGAACATTCCTTGTATGAACCTTTTGATATAAATTTGTCGTCTTATACAGCTGTCTCTTACATTGTCCCTTGTGGTGTCATCTCACCAAAGCTGCTGGATCAGTGACATTGGGTATACAACTCGGCCTTCACCCACCTTGTGATCTAAAACAAACATAACGTAGCGTAGGGTGGGATTGAGGGTCGGGGCCACCAACTCCAAGGCTGGCCGTAGGAATCGACTATGGACTTGCCCAGTGACTGTGGTGGTATGTGATGTCATATATTATAAGACTTATAAAACTTGCATCTCATTTGGCTCTGAGGAGGAATAAGTGAAAAAAAAGTTCAAAATATTTTAAATGCCATAATAATGTAACCCAGGAAAGTTCAATTATACCAAAGAAAAATATTAGTAAAATAAAACTAAATACGAGTTTTGATGGAAATGAAAATTTAGGTTTTTTAATACAAACTTTTGTGTAAAAGCTTTTTTTTTTTTTTCAGGAAACTTCAAATAAAAGTTTTTTTGTTTTTAAGTAAATAAAGATGAAAAAAAATTTCAAAAGCTATAAAATTTCAAGAAATACATGAATTTCTTAAATGTTTATTTTTAAGTTATTGAAAAGATTTATTTTTGTGTACACAGTATGCTTCATAAACAAAAATAAATCTTTTCACTAACAAAGACTAAAAAATGATTTTCTGGTCTAAAACTATTATAAAAACAAATTGTTACAATTTGACTGCCTCACCACAAGGTCAATTGTTTTTATGTAATGAAATTAAATGTGACATTGGCGAGAATTCCATACATTCATTTTTTTTTTTTTCCTTTTTTTATAAATTTAAAAAAATAAATATTGTCTTAAAAGAGAGCCTGGCAGAACAACTACATGAATTCATTTTGTGTTTATATTACACAATTTTGATTATAATTATTAAATTAATTTATAATATTAAATGAGTTAATATTAAATTAAATATTAACAATGTCTAAAAAGAAATTGAAAATAAAAATTTTATTTTGAACTGAAACTAGACTTTGAACTAGCAAACTTTATGGAAAGTCTGAGAACCGAGTAGAAACTTGCACATTTCATTTTTTTTATTTTTTATTTTTTTTACACAAGTAAAATAAATTTACTTTATACTTAGGTGTTATTATGATCTATAGATTTTAGTTTTTCTGATAGCTTAAAATCAATAAATATTTATATCTTTTTGTCATTAGTACCAGGAATTAAAAATTAAGTTGATACAAAAACAAAATTTCAAAGAATTCTTTTCAGAATTGGAAATTAGGTTAAAAATTCTCTGATTCGATACCCCCAAAAGTTCCAATATTTCCAATTCTCGATTTTGATTAATCGTCCTATCCTAATATATATATATATATATATATATATATATATATATATATATATATATATATACACACACACACACACACACACACTGTATACGCACATGTATATTTTAATTCACTAATAGCCCTAAAAATATTTCTACAAAATAAAAAAATTTTATTTATAAATAAAAAAAAAAAAAAAATTTTTTTTTTCCTTTGCTCTAACTTTATGAATTTTATTGCTCAGCCCAGATTAGGGGTTGTCCAGGCTGAGTAGGAAGGGAACATACTATTTCAATGTATTATTTCAAATTCAATCAAATTGTGAACATGTGCCTGTGTATACATTAAATGTCACAAGCATGTATAAGTCACTTATACATAACAAACATACTCATACTCATATATGCACACACAGACAGCATGTGACATGCAGAAAATGAGCCATTATTTCATGTCTGTTGTTTTGCTGTGAAGTCATCAAATAAGTTCTTTAGAATGATTGAAAATTGATAATTTATATAAGGCTTCAGAAATATTTTAAATAAAACTCATAGATTTGAGAAGAGTTATTTTCCATGCAAAAGTTGTTCACTTTTGAACTTGTTCTTTGTGTTAATTTTGTCATCTGTGTTTTTGGCAAACCTTAAGCACATGGGTATCTGTTGATATGCAATTCTTGCTTTGATCTCAAGAAAGATAATGAAAATAAAATTAAGAAAAATAAAAAACATTAAAATTTGACCGCACCTCAAAGAAAAGAAAAATAATTGAATCAGTTGCTGAAAACCTTATGTGTTTGCAAATATTTGTTGACCTGTTCTTTTTCTATTAGTGATTTAATCTCCAAGCAGAGGTGCTTGGAGAATTAGCCATGGCTCCAGACTAACATTTTTTTTTTTTTTTTTTTTTTTTTTTTAACATTGTCTCAGGAATGTTGTAAAAGATATTGATCCTGAAATCAAAATATTTTTAACTTTATCATTTATTGTTAGTAGCATAACTAACACACACACACACACAATTAAAATGTTTAAAAATTAAGATATTAAAGTTCTAAAAATAAATAAATATAAAACATGTTAGCTAACTTTTGCTGTAATTTTTATTAAAAAATCACAACTTTTATTTAAGCATTTTGGTTAAATCACCGTGAGTAATTTTACAGAGAAGTGTTTTTAATTTCCATGTACAGAATAACTTTTATCAGACTTTAGAATTGTGCTCTACGCATTCATTTATTCTTTAAAGAATATTAGTGCATTTGAAATATTCACAATTCGGTTTTATCAAAAATATTTAATTACCTACTTTGTGTAACAACTAAAGTTTTCATGTTTGTTTATCATTTTTTAAATTCTTCCTTATATTTTTGCTTGTATTTTCATTTGAGTTTATAAGAAACCAAAAACATAACACATAAATTTTTTTTAAATGCTTCTTCAATTTTTTTTGTTGACAGTCTAGTAATGGATAGTGGCTCGGATTGAGGAATCCAAGAGCCAAGTTTGAACTTCATTTGGGTTTGTTACATTCACTTATGTGCCTATACCCTTGGGAAAGATAGGGATCCTCTCATCTCCCCCTAGCTATGGGTTAAATAGCAGGACAGAGTTGGTTCTATAACCTTCAGAAGCAACACATCTAAGAGGACAATTCTGAATTTGTGTATGTGAATCCCATTTATAAGAAATTAATTGCTTTCAGAATAAATGTAATAGAATTTTGATAAAACATTTTCTATTGTCATGGCATTGTCTTAAAAAGCTTAACCAGTTGTTGTTCCAAACTAATTTCAGTCACCCCTGGCAAGATATTAATCTCAAGACACTAGAATCAACCATTGCCCTCACTTCACCTTAGTGTCATTCAACTTTCCTATGGAGTGTGGCTGTGGTTTTCCATAACGAGTAGATATTTACAGGGTTGAGTTGCCAGCCTCATACCTAACTAATTCTGAATCCAGTATCATCCTACTTCTAGATTGATTACCAACCAGAGCTAGGGAAGCCAGTCTACCTTACTATTAACCAATAACTGAGAGGAAGAAGAAATGGATTCTTTCTACCTTTTTTCCCAAGGAAATTTGTGCAGAAATGAATGCAGTGCCAATTCCACTTTCTACTAAGTGTTCATCCATTTTTACTCAATAAAAATTCATAAGAAGAAGAATCTAATACAAATTCAATTTTAAAGAACAACTCAATTCATCTTGTGTATTGAAATGTGTTTCTGATTAATTTTAGTTCCAACTTCATTGAATCTCTGGAGGATTTCAAAGATTGTGTCAGTCTGAAAGAACTCTTTGCTAGGAACAACAACATCTCTGAACTTCACGAGATTTGCCACTTGAAAAACCTGGTTAACTTGCGTGTTTTATGGATAGACAAAAACCCAGTCAGCCAACTCGAGGGTTACAGAGAGACTGTTCTCCGTGCACTTCCTCATTTAGAAAAACTTGATAATCTGGGTGAGTAAATTGTATTGATAAAATTGTGTTCATTGATTATTTTGTTGAACAGGCTTTTGAATCTTTTTTTTTTTTTTCTAAGACCCATGTAGGTAGACTCTCTTGAATGACTTTTCAAATCTAATCTCATGCTTTGTTAAATCTTTCTAATCAGCATTACTGGGAATTGGGATGAAAGTTAAAACACTGATAATGCTTATTAAAAACAAAGCAGATTACAGTTAGAAAGGCCACTGTACATGTAAACATGTCTGACTTAAATCTGCCCACCCAATTAAGGTATGTACTTTGCAAAAAAAAAAAAAAAGAAAGAAAAATGTCCATTGACAAAAAGGAGAAGGATTGACAAACTATGAACTAGAAGTTTTATTTTTTTTTTTTTTTTTTTTTTTTTTTGCTATAATTTAGAATTAATTGATGAGAATTATAATCATATTTGAAGTGGAGTATAAGGACGTAGAATTTTCTTATTTGTTGTAATGCATAAAGAAAGATATAAATTGTTTTTATTTTTTTTTTTTAATTTGAAAATTTGATTACAAAAAATAATTTTCCTTAATTGATAGTGATTATGATTATATTTAATTTTTGTTTTTGTCTTTATAACGGATATCATGTTGATATTGATAGAATTTAAAAATATAATCTCATATTTTGGTTCATTGTGACTAATTTTCAGTTTGTTTGTAGTTTTCTTTTTTTTATCATAACTTCTAGACTTTATTTTTTATTTTGATGGGAGAGGGGACTGGTTCTCATTCAATCACTGAAGTTAAGCATTGTTGAGGCCAGTCAATACTTAGATGGGGGACTACTTGGAAACACCAGGTACTACAGAAAACATATAATCCAAAATGTTTCATCTTTAAATAACCTGTAAAGGGCTGATAAGTCATACAACTCCATCAATCAATTGTTGAGGGGGGGGGGGGGGGTCATACAATTCTCTCCCCGAAACATTGCATCTTGTGCCTGTGACTTCTTGGGGGACTGTTTTCTTTCAAATGCTATATTGAACCCACTCATAGTCAATGTATGAAAGGAAAAGAGCTTGTCATCTGGTTTATTGAAGCTTGTTTCCATACTGAGGTTTCAGCTGTTTTACCTTTTGACCTTTGTTTGGTAAATATTTTGAACTTTTTATTCAGTCCCTATGGGTAGACTCTTCTTATTCTAGAGAACATCTCATCTGAGTTGACAAACTTCCTCTTCCTCCTCCTCATGACTGCACCCCCAACCCCAATACACAGACACCCTCATCCCCGGTGATGCTGATTTGGGTTATGATAGCCATTCTTTCCTCCCTTATAATATTCAGTTTTGGACAACTCACAAGCATCTCTCTCACCTTGTCTGTTGGTGTCCTGAGATTCTCAAGAATGTCACCACCATTGCGACTATTTTGTCCAAGTTGGGTCCTCACTTGATAGAATTGTTTAGTGCAGTTTCCCCCCCCAAAATCTTAGCTGGCATTTGTTCATATTGACAACTATATTCACAGAGCCTTATCATCTCTCATACTGTGTGGTCTTTCTTTGGGGTACCTTAACATTTCCAAATTTATAACAAAAGAATTTGTCCAGATTTTTTTGTCTCTCTTTCTATCAAGGTTTAATGTTATTTGATTTAGGATTTCTTTTTCTTTTTTTCCATTGATGAGTCAAAACCTTCAGTTGCAACTTTATCCCTCATTTCTGATGTCTTTTCCCTTTGATAAGAGGCTATCCTGTTCTTGCCTCTATCATTTATGTCCATCCTATAATTGACAAATGTTTTCAACTTTACATCTCTAGATCTTTGTACAGAAATGTTAGCTGCCTTGACATTTTTGCTCTGTGTGTGTTTCTTTATTTAATCTCTGAAGGTAGGGGTTGGGGGAGAATGTTCTCATGCCTTTGTCTATATCTAAGGATATTGTGTCCTTTTTTTTTAGTATTGTTCAGTTACTGATCACTCTTTTCCACCATGTCTGTCTAGACTAAGGATTGAACTCACAACTACTATGCACATAAATTCATGACCCAGCACGTTAATCCACTAGGCTGTTCTCCTATAGGATGATAGCCTCGTGTTCTGCTGTATATTTTGCTAAAGATAATTTCAGACATTTTCAAGTGATATTCTACTAAGAGACAATATCTTGAAATGTTTCACAAATCTGTGGAAGGTGTCGGTTATGTACCCAGTTTATATCCCATCAGTCTCCTTAGTGTCATCAGCAAGCTTTTCGAGTCTATTGTCAACAAGTTGTCAATTGCTTCAACAGAAACAACCTCCTGAGTGGTAAACAGTGTGGATTTATTTCCTTTAAATCTATTGCTAATATCTTAACTGTCGTAAGACATAGTTTCAATGAAGGACTTAATAAGTTCATCACTAGTGTCGTCTTCAAAGGCGTGTGACAAGGGGTTTTGCTTGCTACACAAACTCTCCAGATATGGCATCTCTGGAGGAGTCTTCTCGATTATCAGGTCCTTCTGACCATCTAGGTCCATGAAGATCGTTCTTACTGGTCAAGCCTCTTCAGCTTGAGGTTAATTCAGGCATCCCTCAAGGCTACCCTCTTTGATCATATGCTCTTCCTGCTTTATATTAACGATCTTTCTAAGAACATACACAGGTATTAAGTAAATATATGGGCAGCAGATAACACATTTTATGACTATCTCTGCAAAAATCGAGATAATCAGAGCCTAGCAGCTGATCTCTCCTCTGACCTAGCTCAAACAGCTCAAGGAGAGAGGAACTGGCTTGTACGTTTCAATACCTCCAAATTAAAGCCAGTAATATTTCATAATCCTAAAGCAGACTGTGAATCATTATGATGAATGATTGTATTCTTAATGAGGCTTCTTGTCTGGAACGTCTATTGGAACTGAATCTCACTTCAGATCCTTAAGTGGAACTAGTGTATAATATTCATCACCAAAATTGTTCAGAAAATGGTCATTTCTATCGCTTCTGCCATGCTCTATCTTTAATAGAATCAGCTCTTCCTGGTGAAATGATAAACTACATCCAGCAGCAAGACCTGTGGTCAGGAGGTTTTGAGGAGTGTGGAACCAATTCTTAATTGCTGTTGTTCCAAAGTACATCCTGACCAGCACATAGTGACCCCCCCCTCCACCAAAACACTGAAAGTATAAAAATACAAGCAATACATTTCTGTGTATAAAAAAAAAAAAAAATTTTCAAAGCTCCCAAGAAAATTAAATTTTGACTTTAAATAACCCATAAGGAGTTGATATGCCATTAAGCAAACAGATCAGACTGTCTGGACTAGGAGTTGTTGATTCCTCATTTTTCCAGCATTGACAGAATTCAAAAGTGTTTATACAGCCTTGTAGGTGGTTAATTACATCCCACCCTACAATCTTTTCCCCCACAGATGAAACTTTGGTAGCTTCTGACTAGTCAATCAATGTTTTCATGGCAGACATTCAGACAAATTATGTTCCTTAGTTCCACATGTCCAGATCTTCACAACTAGGATCCACTATGCCATGTACACAGTTGATTCATCCACCTTCCCTTCATATTCCATTGGTAAGGAGGAAGTTTCACTCAGACAGCTTCTCTGATCACTATGATCCTAACATTTTCAAGTCTTGGGTCAATTGTTATCTATCCTACATATCCTCATAATCTGAACTTTTTACTTTCTCCTCTTACACCCTGACAATAACGTCATTCAGTAATGCTCTATCTTGCGCCTTGTATTGGATGAAAAATATCCCTCCTAGTAGTATTAGTAGAAATATTATTTTGATATCCTCATAATATACACTTTTGGGCAAAGCACATTCCTTGGTTCCACCTGTCCACAATTAGGACCCACCCTGCTACATATACAGTTGATTTATCTATATTGTCTTCATCTTCCATTAGTAAGGAGGAAGTTTCACTCAGACAGCTTCTTCTGGTTAGCCCTTACAACAAAACCTCTTTATGTACCCCTCTACCTTGAATGACTCTTGGGTTTTGAAATTATAAACAATAGTATAAAAATATTTTACCTCCTCACATGCATGCATGCAGATCATCTTGGATAAGTAATCACTTTTTGTAATTGGAATTTCCATTTTATTATGACTGGTAGAAATTCAATTCTGTGAGTTCAGACATTATTTCTTTCAACCAATTAATGGCCAGAGGTTCTTAAGCCCAAAAGGGCACTTAAAATTGCTTCTTTTTTTTTTTTTTCCTCTGTCCAAAAGAAAAAAATTCAAAATGATCTTTGCATCATTTGCTAAAGGAAAACAAAAAAAAAAAAAATCCAATGTTTTTAAAGATTAATGTTGAATAATGCATTGTACCAACTTGGAAATATGCTGCATTTTTTTTTTTTTTTTTTCTAAAGCATTTCATTGGTAAACGTGGAATATTCTTGCCAATTTGGTCATAGCTGTAGTAATCTCTGTGTAGATTTCCAAGCCGCAGGTACCATCTTTAGACAAGATTGCTCCCAAGTATTTAAAAACGGACCCTTCCAGTGAATTCCCATTCATGGTAATGTTGACACAGGTGTTACTATTTGTGCTAATCACCATCACTTTGGATTTTTCAGAGCTGACCTCCATTCCATATGCTCCTTCAACAAGTTTGTTGGTCAAGTCCTGGTACTCACTGTTACTACTTGCTAGGAGGTCAATGTTGTCTGCAAAATGTAGGTTACAGATGGGCCTACAACCAATAGAGATTGAAGGATCATGGTCATTCAGGGTTTCTTGCATGATTCTCTTTAGAAATAGGTTGAACAATGTGGGTGATAGTACGTATCCATGTCTCACACCAACAGTTTTCCTGAAAAAACCTCCCATTTATTTTCCAAGAAGAACTATGCTAGTGGCATCTTTATATAGGGCCTGAATGACGTGTTATCTACATTGACTTCCCTCAGGATTTGCCAAAGACCATCATGCCATACACAATCAAACTCTTTCTTGAAATCAACAAAGTTGTGAAATACATCCTTCTGATGTTTACGAGGATCCGACAAT